TATAACTTTTCTTTTACCCCCCCCCCCCCCCTCCTCCTGGTATCGATTTCAAGTAATCACTGATCCTTGTTTATACCACTCTTTCCTTTATCTCAACTTTGAAATCGATATAAGGAAGGGGGATAAAGAAAAGTTATATAACAATTTATTATTTAATAATTTATTAAAATACATAAGTTTGTCCAACTCCCTGTGATATCAGTGTGTTTCATAATCAGATCAAAGATGGCCGAATAACGACTGTTTTAATTTTTGGCCATATTACTACTACACAGAACATGTGTTTTGATGAAAATAAACAATCTGTTGTATATGCCACTTGGAACTCAAGTATCAAGAACACGCTCGTGACAACCCCTCCGCTTTAATATGATGAGCACAAAGGGAACTTTCAAACATTTAACGGGGACTGTGTCATTTTCAATGACTTGTTCTTATATATTTATGATAAATAACGGCTTAGTTTACTAAATGTTCAAATTAAATCTCTGTGTCTTTAATGCCTCCATCAAAAATACGATTTGTGTGCATATACACAGCTGGTAAGCTGCTGTTGACTCTGATTAATACCATCAATGCACCTGTAGAGGACTTATAAATGACATCCGCATCGATCAGTGTTATTAAATGATAAAATCAATCAATTATTTTACTAAAGTTTTATGTTTATCGCTTTATTTATGCTGGTAGTGGCTGACTCTCACTACTATCACTGGTTAGCAGAGCACATGTACAAGTAACAAACCATTAGTGATTTGAATAAAACTGTCGCTGATGACGAACGATATCATTCTTTGAAAAAATAGGATAGCCAGTTAATTGTCACAAAAAGCAGAAAAATAATAAATAACACGTTTTATGTCACCTTAGGATAACCTCACTTGAAAATGTATGTTAAAACAATATTTTTTTTTTTTATTCGGATAACATTCCAATAACCAGTTGGCTTCACAAGACATTAATAAATATATAATACAACAACATTAAAACACTAATCTATGAAGATAAAAAGTCATGCATAAAAATGCTTTGTTAATATGTGCAAAGATACTTGGTAGTTCATGAGGTCAAAGCGTTTAGGTATAGATACATTGATTCAAGAATATGTCACATGGCAAAGTAGATTAAACCAAAAAAATTTTTGAAAATTCAGTGGGACTGACTGAAAATGAGGTCAGTTGACTTAAAATGAACATATTTGTAACAAATTAAGATTGACAGCTTTCCTATGCAGAAAATGAAGGAAGTACCGTAGCCATCCCAAAATAGACTGCATACACTGGTAACAAAAATGTTATGAAAAGCAAACATTACAAAATTCTGAATTGCCCTACTGATATGCTCAGTGAAATCCAAAAAGTCAGCCTGACACCCAAATCTTCAACTGACTTAAAACAAATAATATACACAATAGAATTTACTGTGAAAATACTGTATCTGAATTTGCTCCAACGTTCAAATTGCCACCAACACAATCTGATTAAAATCTGTGATTCGTTGACTAAAATCGTCGATAGTGGGTCTCATTGAAATCTCATTACATAGGCATCGGGTCAGATGTAGGTAGGGAGGAATTTAAAAAAAAAATCACAAAATCAAAGTAAAATAATAAAATTAAAAGGCATTAATAACAAAAGTAATAAAAAATAAAATTAAAATAAGATTTTAATCAGATTGCCATTAACAATGACAGGTTTATTGATGTTTTTCTATGTTGTATATACAAAACCAATATCGAACATAAAGTGCCGTATAAATAACTGTGACACTTGAACAAAATTATTATTTCTGGTAGCGTGGTTTTCAATGCATATGTAAAGTCAATAGCAGATTATGGATGCTATATTTTTTCTATTAGTAGTGCATATGTCAATTTTTGGTTTGTGCTCTTCTATTGGAAACACACTTCTAATACGGTTGAGCAAATATGGTGGTTTATACATACATATATACATTTTGTATATACAAAACTTCAATGTTTATTGTTTTCTGCTCGTGATGAGAGCATTTACTACATGTCATGCAATTTGCATCCATGCTTGATACATCATCAATTTATAATAATTTAGTTTCTAATTTATATTTTTTAGGAATCTAAACATCTGCATTGTTTTTCACAATTTACTGGTGTTCATGCGTATACTGCAGTGAATGGTAGAAAGCATTTTGGTGCTCCAAATGACAATGTCTTCTGCTTAAAGGTGAGGCACCCTCGTTTCAGGCAATCAGGGGCTACCGGTAAATAGAACCTTTGCGTTTTTCAGCATGTTTGTTATCGTCACTTCGCCGACGACCCCTCAACTTTAACCTTTTGAGCAAGTCAACTTTTGTTCCCATTCACAACTTTTAAAAACCACCTATTATATTATAAATTATAATGTTTTTCATAATTTTTCCAAAATTTTGATTAAGACTTGTAGACAATAGGAAATTTATCCATTTTGGTCCAAAATTATAAAAAAAATTATAGAAAAATATATATAAATGGGCAAAAAGTTGCAACAAAATTTTGCCATTAAAAATGGTCGTGTTCAGTGTGTTAATTCATACATACAGTTTCTTCTTATATTTGTCCTTCAAGCCAGTACATTCATCTGATTTGCGAGAGATTAAATGTTTGTGCGCTGAAGATGACGGAACCCGACAGTCGTGGATCACTGGAATACGGTTGGCAAAGTATAAATCGCAACTGCGCAATAACTACCTGACGTCGCTACGAAGACAAGCCAAATTACAAGATTTAAATGCAGCTGATTATAGCCCTCGATTGGTAGGTTCATTTGATATCTCTAGATACTAGTTTTGATTGCTTAAAGCCTCAAGTCAAAATTTGCTTATAAGCTATGTTTTTGGTCAATTATTTGTTCAAGCACTGTAAACTAGATATATCCCTGGCTTGAGTCTATAGCAGCAGTTAAGTTTTCTTAATGAATACAATTGTATTCCATAACTAAAATAACATGCCACTTGCATGCAAAGTCTATGCCAGCTGTAGGACAAAATACTAGCTGGAAAAAACCTTTAGACAAAAACAAGGTGAACATAGTCCCAGTACTAAAATAACAAGCACATGAAAGTTTACAATCTGGGTTTTACTTTTAGAAAATATATTTTCATATTGTTATCAACAGCACAATGTTTATAATTAGAACCAAGATTGCCATTCACATGTGTATGGTAAATATTTTTACAAGGTTTTGGTGTATACATGTATATGAATGCACTGTGATGACATTCACTAAAATATATGGCTTTGTGTGTTGTTTCTATGCTTTTCATTCAGGCACTTTTTAACATAAGACAAGAAAAATAATGCAACAAGAACAAATGTCAGCTTCAGAGTTTCTTACAATGAGCTGCATTTAATCATTTAATTTTCGCTCCCATGAATTTTCACTTTATGACGATTTTATGGGTTTTGTTGAAGTCAAAATATCCTGAAAGTCGCTAAAGTTGCCTGATATAGGACCCAAGAAAAAAGTTCACTGCTACTAACTTCAACATTTTCACTGACTCGAGAAATTAAATTGGTTTAGTGTAAACAACATGTCACACATATGCACATGTATTCATTTGATGATGCAATTCAATATGGCCGAACGGTGGCCATTTGAATGTTAACAATTCATCAAAATCAAGCATTTCTGTGCATTGCAAGTGCATTGATTGGTCACATTTTTAATGAGTTAATTATTCATGATGCATCATTCAAATGCCCTTATTTGCGTCAGTTACTGGTAATAAAATTGGTGCCATCGCCAATCAAGTCATACAAGTTGCATAAACGTATACAACAGTAATAATCAGGAGATATACTGATAATTTTTCTGGGAGTTTGTTCCGACAATGGAGTAAATTTTTCTGAAATCACTATTTTGGAGTTTGTAATTCTAATCCAATCGCATTAAAATTATTCTGTTTTCATTAATGCGTCAATGTACCGCACACTAAATCCATTCACCTCCCAATGAGAAAACATCCCAGTGCTGATAATGGTGCCAGTGAATGATATTTTGCTAAAACAATGAAAAGAGTTAGGTTACAGGTAGTTTAGGGGAGAGTAGGAAATCAAACGGGCGGTTCACCGCATTAATCTCCACGGCTCTCCGCGGTACACCGGGGAGAGCCGCGGACTGCTTATAATTAGGGGTCTCTACCGCGGTGTCCACCGGTACCGGTTGCAACCGCGGTCGTAGGAAAGGTGTGAAATACATACCTAACAATTTCCTTTGTGATTTCATAGGTCTTTGTTTCAAATAGCTATTTTTAAATCGAGCAGGTTACGAGCATCGCTTGCATGGAAATACTAAGCATATGGTAATATTATCGGCTATTTTATTAATATAAAAATCCATAAGTCCAATGCTGTATACGAATTGTTGTTGCGTGAAACAATGTTGTATTTTATGCATGTATTTATCACCAATTCCAAGAGTAAAAGTCGTAACTTTCGAAGGTACGAGTATTATGACTCGTCCATACATTGCACTTACGTTTGTTACACTTGAATAAAGTCTACCACATGAAAAGAATGTTATTTACGAAGTTTTAAATAGCCGAACCTTCCTGATTCGAGCCTCTTGTTGATTTGACAACGGTGGGTATCATTAATGTTTATTCTTTGGCTGTATCGCATTCCAGACAAAAAGTTCAAGATCGGTAAACAAGAAATGGACGAACTAAAATGTCTCCTGTGTTTCACGTGCAACATGATTATTAAAAAAAACAGAGTTAAGCGGTCATGTACGTTCTATAAATCTAACCTTGCACACATAATCTTGTATTGACGTGTTTTTTGGGGGGGTCAAAAACGACGTTGCCTTTCAGTTAACTCTTTGCGTTCATGGTATTTGTGACAGCAAAGACACTAGAAAAGTGTTTACACTAGAAAAGTGTCTTTGGTGAGAGTTTACCGTTTTTTTGAACAAATGTTAAGTAACTATATCGTTTTGCGTCAAACTGGGTGGGCCGAATTTAAATGTCAGTGTGTGAACTCATTGAGGTCATTGCCCATTGCCGCACGTAATTCAAACAGGTGCAGGTGGTTATTATAGTTCATTCATGCACGCGAATTATGCGATCGAAGTG